CCAGGAGGGGGCTGCTTCCCCCTGCGGGCCCAGCCATCCCGTGTGGCGTTATGTGTGTTTGTTCCCTCCCCTGCCCTGCCCTGCCCCAGAGCTGGCTGCATCTCTCTGTTGGGCAAGCCATCCCTTGTGGTGTTATGTGCAGCTGCTCCCCAGCCCCCGCTCTGGTTGCATCTGTGAGCCCTCTTCATCTTGAGCCCCAATAAAGTGGAATGAAAACAGCGGTGGATAAGTCTGGACTATGCTACGGGTTATGTGTGTTTGTTCCCTCCCCTGCCCTGCCCTGCCCCAGAGCTGGCTGCATCTCTCTGTTGGGCAAGCCATCCCTTGTGGTGTTATGTGCAGCTGCTCCCCAGCCCCCGCTCTGGTTGCATCTGTGAGCCCTCTTCATCTTGAGCCCCAATAAAGTGGAATGAAAACAGCGGTGGATAAGTCTGGACTATGCTACGGGGCTGTGCGAAGGGGCTGGCTGGTTCGGTGGGTCGGGAATGGGGCAGAGGCCTTTCCCTATGGGGGGAGGAGAGACAGGCTCTGCTCAGGTAGCTGGGATTTGTTTGGGCTGCGTTTATATCGGAAATCGGCCACCAGCGTCAAGGGAACAAAGTCCCTTCTGGAAAATCCATTTCCTTGTCGGAGGGGAGGGCAGGCCGGCACGGAGCTGCACCGATGAACCCGCCCCGCCACGCTCCCTTGCCCTGCCCTCCTGCTCTGACCCACTAAACCCCACCCCCATGAGCATCGGGGACGGGACCCAGGCGTCGGGCCTATAAAAATAACCTCCTGCTATTTTTTACTGAAACCAAACCAGAACCACCCCTCCCCGAGTTTTGCCCCTCCCCAGAAATAGCTGCATCTGAGCTCCGGGCAGCTGTTCCCCAGGCAGTGTTATGTGTGGCTGTTCCCCAGCTGCCCCGCCCCAGAGGCAGCTGCATTTCCGCACTGAGCGCAAACAGCATGCTCTGTGACTGACAGCAGCGCTGTCCGAGGAGGAGGGGCAATGTAACAGGCTAGCGCCGCCACCCCACAAGCCACAGTGATAAGGGGAAAATTTGCATTTGGTGCCTGCTCAGCCCTCAGTCTATTTGAATCGGCACCTGGAGCTGGTGGAGTTGAATTTCTGAGCATTTCCCAGCTCTGCCTGCTCCCAGGCTGCAGTTATGCAGAGCAGCTGGGAGCCAGGCTGGTGGGGCTCACCTAGCCCTGAGATGCAGCCACCTCTGGGGCGGGGTGGGGCAGCGGGGAACAGCCACACATAACGCCCCAGCGGGGTGGCTCACCCAGCACCGAGATGCAGCCAGCTCTGGGGTGAGGGTCCCGGGGAGCCGTCTCAGCCTGTTACCAGAAGGGACGGTCCTTACTGAGTCTCCCATTTCACATCAGATCTGGGAGGGGAGTGGGGTTTAGTGGTTAGAGCAGGGGGGAGGGTAGGAGAAGTGAAACAGAAGGGAAAAGTGTGTGGGCTCGGCCGCTCTCCTAGGACCGGTGTTTGAGTTTCCTGAGCAATTTCACTTCAGTTTAACGAGCCCAGCCCTAGCGACACGCACTGGGGAGCCGACTGCCACGGGATTCCCAAGGCCGTGCCTTCCCGCTGCCTCCGCTCTACCCACTACACCCCGCTCCCCTCCCAGAGCGGAGGAGAGAACCCAGGCGCCCTGGTGCCCAGCCCCTCCGCTCTACCCACTACACCCCGCTCCCCTCCCAGAGCGGAGGAGAGAACCCAGGCGCCCTGGTGCCCAGCCCCTCCGCTCTACCCACTACACCCCGCTCCCCTCCCAGAGCGGAGGAGAGAACCCAGGCGCCCTGGTGCCCAGCCCCTCCGCTCTACCCACTACACCCCGCTCCCCTCCCAGAGCGGAGGAGAGAACCCAGGCGCCCTGGTGCCCAGCCCCTCCGCTCTACCCACTACACCCCGCTCCCCTCCCAGAGCGGAGGAGAGAACCCAGGCGCCCTGGTGCCCAGCCCCTCCGCTCTACCCACTACACCCCGCTCCCCTCCCAGAGCGGAGGAGAGAACCCAGGCGCCCTGGTGCCCAGCCCCTCCGCTCTACCCACTACACCCCGCTCCCCTCCCAGAGCGGAGGAGAGAACCCAGGCGCCCTGGTGCCCAGCCCCTCCGCTCTACCCACTACACCCCGCTCCCCTCCCAGAGCGGAGGAGAGAACCCAGGCGCCCTGGTGCCCAGCCCCTCCGCTCTACCCACTACACCCCGCTCCCCTCCCAGAGCGGAGGAGAGAACCCAGGCGCCCTGGTGCCCAGCCCCTCCGCTCTACCCACTACACCCCGCTCCCCTCCCAGAGCGGAGGAGAGAACCCAGGCGCCCTGGTGCCCAGCCCCTCCGCTCTACCCACTACACCCCGCTCCCCTCCCAGAGCGGAGGAGAGAACCCAGGCGCCCTGGTGCCCAGCCCCTCCGCTCTACCCACTACACCCCGCTCCCCTCCCAGAGCGGAGGAGAGAACCCAGGCGCCCTGGTGCCCAGCCCCTCCGCTCTACCCACTACACCCCGCTCCCCTCCCAGAGCGGAGGAGAGAACCCAGGCGCCCTGGTGCCCAGCCCCTCCGCTCTACCCACTACACCCCGCTCCCCTCCCAGAGCGGAGGAGAGAACCCAGGCGCCCTGGTGCCCAGCCCCTCCGCTCTACCCACTACACCCCGCTCCCCTCCCAGAGCGGAGGAGAGAACCCAGGCGCCCTGGTGCCCAGCCCCTCCGCTCTACCCACTACACCCCGCTCCCCTCCCAGAGCGGAGGAGAGAACCCAGGCGCCCTGGTGCCCAGCCCCTCCGCTCTACCCACTACACCCCGCTCCCCTCCCAGAGCGGAGGAGAGAACCCAGGCGCCCTGGTGCCCAGCCCCTCCGCTCTACCCACTACACCCCGCTCCCCTCCCAGAGCGGAGGAGAGAACCCAGGCGCCCTGGTGCCCAGCCCCTCCGCTCTACCCACTACACCCCGCTCCCCTCCCAGAGCGGAGGAGAGAACCCAGGCGCCCTGGTGCCCAGCCCCTCCGCTCTACCCACTACACCCCGCTCCCCTCCCAGAGCGGAGGAGAGAACCCAGGCGCCCTGGTGCCCAGCCCCTCCGCTCTACCCACTACACCCCGCTCCCCTCCCAGAGCGGAGGAGAGAACCCAGGCGCCCTGGTGCCCAGCCCCTCCGCTCTACCCACTACACCCCGCTCCCCTCCCAGAGCGGAGGAGAGAACCCAGGCGCCCTGGTGCCCAGCCCCTCCGCTCTACCCACTACACCCCGCTCCCCTCCCAGAGCGGAGGAGAGAACCCAGGCGCCCTGGTGCCCAGCCCCTCCGCTCTACCCACTACACCCCGCTCCCCTCCCAGAGCGGAGGAGAGAACCCAGGCGCCCTGGTGCCCAGCCCCTCCGCTCTACCCACTACACCCCGCTCCCCTCCCAGAGCGGAGGAGAGAACCCAGGCGCCCTGGTGCCCAGCCCCTCCGCTCTACCCACTACACCCCGCTCCCCTCCCAGAGCGGAGGAGAGAACCCAGGCGCCCTGGTGCCCAGCCCCTCCGCTCTACCCACTACACCCCGCTCCCCTCCCAGAGCGGAGGAGAGAACCCAGGCGCCCTGGTGCCCAGCCCCTCCGCTCTACCCACTACACCCCGCTCCCCTCCTCAGAGCCAGAGAAAGGCGCCGGGCGTGCTGGCTCCCAACTCCCCCCGGCTCTCACCACCCGTCCCCACTGTCCCCAGAGCCAGGGCTCCCGGCAGGGCGCTGCCTCCTGCAGCCCTACCCACTACACCCCGCTCCCCTCCCAGAGCGGAGGAGAGAACCCAGGCGCCCTGGTGCCCAGCCCCTCCGCTCTACCCACTACACCCCGCTCCCCTCCCAGAGCGGAGGAGAGAACCCAGGCGCCCTGGTGCCCAGCCCCTCCGCTCTACCCACTACACCCCGCTCCCCTCCCAGAGCGGAGGAGAGAACCCAGGCGCCCTGGTGCCCAGCCCCTCCGCTCTACCCACTACACCCCGCTCCCCTCCCAGAGCGGAGGAGAGAACCCAGGCGCCCTGGTGCCCAGCCCCTCCGCTCTACCCACTACACCCCGCTCCCCTCCCAGAGCGGAGGAGAGAACCCAGGCGCCCTGGTGCCCAGCCCCTCCGCTCTACCCACTACACCCCGCTCCCCTCCCAGAGCGGAGGAGAGAACCCAGGCGCCCTGGTGCCCAGCCCCTCCGCTCTACCCACTACACCCCGCTCCCCTCCCAGAGCGGAGGAGAGAACCCAGGCGCCCTGGTGCCCAGCCCCTCCGCTCTACCCACTACACCCCGCTCCCCTCCCAGAGCGGAGGAGAGAACCCAGGCGCCCTGGTGCCCAGCCCCTCCGCTCTACCCACTACACCCCGCTCCCCTCCCAGAGCGGAGGAGAGAACCCAGGCGCCCTGGTGCCCAGCCCCTCCGCTCTACCCACTACACCCCGCTCCCCTCCCAGAGCGGAGGAGAGAACCCAGGCGCCCTGGTGCCCAGCCCCTCCGCTCTACCCACTACACCCCGCTCCCCTCCCAGAGCGGAGGAGAGAACCCAGGCGCCCTGGTGCCCAGCCCCTCCGCTCTACCCACTACACCCCGCTCCCCTCCCAGAGCGGAGGAGAGAACCCAGGCGCCCTGGTGCCCAGCCCCTCCGCTCTACCCACTACACCCCGCTCCCCTCCCAGAGCGGAGGAGAGAACCCAGGCGCCCTGGTGCCCAGCCCCTCCGCTCTACCCACTACACCCCGCTCCCCTCCCAGAGCGGAGGAGAGAACCCAGGCGCCCTGGTGCCCAGCCCCTCCGCTCTACCCACTACACCCCGCTCCCCTCCCAGAGCGGAGGAGAGAACCCAGGCGCCCTGGTGCCCAGCCCCTCCGCTCTACCCACTACACCCCGCTCCCCTCCCAGAGCGGAGGAGAGAACCCAGGCGCCCTGGTGCCCAGCCCCTCCGCTCTACCCACTACACCCCGCTCCCCTCCCAGAGCGGAGGAGAGAACCCAGGCGCCCTGGTGCCCAGCCCCTCCGCTCTACCCACTACACCCCGCTCCCCTCCCAGAGCGGAGGAGAGAACCCAGGCGCCCTGGTGCCCAGCCCCTCCGCTCTACCCACTACACCCCGCTCCCCTCCCAGAGCGGAGGAGAGAACCCAGGCGCCCTGGTGCCCAGCCCCTCCGCTCTACCCACTACACCCCGCTCCCCTCCCAGAGCGGAGGAGAGAACCCAGGCGCCCTGGTGCCCAGCCCCTCCGCTCTACCCACTACACCCCGCTCCCCTCCCAGAGCGGAGGAGAGAACCCAGGCGCCCTGGTGCCCAGCCCCTCCGCTCTACCCACTACACCCCGCTCCCCTCCCAGAGCGGAGGAGAGAACCCAGGCGCCCTGGTGCCCAGCCCCTCCGCTCTACCCACTACACCCCGCTCCCCTCCCAGAGCGGAGGAGAGAACCCAGGCGCCCTGGTGCCCAGCCCCTCCGCTCTACCCACTACACCCCGCTCCCCTCCCAGAGCGGAGGAGAGAACCCAGGCGCCCTGGTGCCCAGCCCCTCCGCTCTACCCACTACACCCCGCTCCCCTCCCAGAGCGGAGGAGAGAACCCAGGCGCCCTGGTGCCCAGCCCCTCCGCTCTACCCACTACACCCCGCTCCCCTCCCAGAGCGGAGGAGAGAACCCAGGCGCCCTGGTGCCCAGCCCCTCCGCTCTACCCACTACACCCCGCTCCCCTCCCAGAGCGGAGGAGAGAACCCAGGCGCCCTGGTGCCCAGCCCCTCCGCTCTACCCACTACACCCCGCTCCCCTCCCAGAGCGGAGGAGAGAACCCAGGCGCCCTGGTGCCCAGCCCCTCCGCTCTACCCACTACACCCCGCTCCCCTCCCAGAGCGGAGGAGAGAACCCAGGCGCCCTGGTGCCCAGCCCCTCCGCTCTACCCACTACACCCCGCTCCCCTCCCAGAGCGGAGGAGAGAACCCAGGCGCCCTGGTGCCCAGCCCCTCCGCTCTACCCACTACACCCCGCTCCCCTCCCAGAGCGGAGGAGAGAACCCAGGCGCCCTGGTGCCCAGCCCCTCCGCTCTACCCACTACACCCCGCTCCCCTCCCAGAGCGGAGGAGAGAACCCAGGCGCCCTGGTGCCCAGCCCCTCCGCTCTACCCACTACACCCCGCTCCCCTCCCAGAGCGGAGGAGAGAACCCAGGCGCCCTGGTGCCCAGCCCCTCCGCTCTACCCACTACACCCCGCTCCCCTCCTCAGAGCCAGAGAAAGGCGCCGGGCGTGCTGGCTCCCAACTCCCCCCGGCTCTCACCACCCGTCCCCACTGTCCCCAGAGCCAGGGCTCCCGGCAGGGCGCTGCCTCCTGCAGCCCAGCAGGCGGCTCGGTCCGGGCAGCGGGAAGGGAAAGTTTAACCCAGCC